AATTTTCTGGCGCAGTTGGTTGACATTTGTATATTCAGATTATCCCCTTATAAAACCCTCATATAAAAAATCTAAAGCATTTAGATCGGGTGACCTTGTATGTGTCCACCTCTACCTATCCAACGTCCAGGAAAGGCACTGTCTAAGTCTAAGTAATGCCGTACATCCCATGCAAAGTGCCATGGGGCACAATCGCATTGAAAATACATGCGGCTTCGAAGTCCAAAGGTATGTACATCCTCTAGCAACTCATGCAAACTGCTTTGTAGAAAAGCAAGATGTGACTGACCATTCAACCTGGCGAGCAATTTATATGGTCCAATTAATTTTTTTTTGAGTACTCCAGCCCATAAATTAACCCCGAACTAACGTTGGTAGCTGTGTCGGCGAATAGCGTGTGGATTTTCTACGCCCCATGAAAGGAAATTGTGCATGTTGAATACTCCATTTCGGTTAAAGTTGGATTCATCTGTCGATAAGATGCTGTCGAAAAAGTGTCATCCTCTTCGCACCTTCTCAACATAGTCTCACAAAATTCAACCCGTTGTGCATAGTCGCTTGGAAGCAATTATTGTACTTTTTGTACATGGTAAGGATGCATGTTCTCCGAGCGTAGTATTGTGTGCACTGAAGTATGAAATAAAATCGCTCTAACTTGGTTTTATATATTTCGGAGGCTTCTGGCCACCTTCAGAAACATTTTTGTATAGGTTAAAAATCGGGGTTGGGGGAGGGTATATCTCATTCTTTTGCGGGTAGCATATTTATCCGCTTTCAACTCCGCTAATTTTACTCACACACTAGATTTTGCCGTACATTTGCCCTTAAAACTTGCACCAGAACTAGTGTGCGTCTGACTGAATAGAAAACAATCGAATATAAAATGTTTCGTCAATTGTTGAACACACGTGTAACAAAGTCGCAATATACTTTGTGCCCATACCGAGTGGCCGAACATGATAAAATCTATGAACTAAGTACACAGTACTCACCCTCAATTTTAAACAACGTTTCAATACTGGACCACGAGTTCACATACAGTTCCTCATATAAAATTAAATTCGAAAAATGTTACTATGACAGAAGCCACAAACTTTTCAATTTATTGATAAATGGACGATGATTTATCCATCAATGCTTTACTGTCTTTCAAAATTCGTATTTTATTGGTTTTACTCCCCACGCTGGGCGAGGAAGTATTGTAATCGCGAAAAATTTCGAAAAAGATATGTTATTGGATGTTATGTGTGAGATGTATATCACGAAAATCTATGTCGCTCAATTCCGTCGGTCTGTTTGTCCGCTAATCCTTGTCCCATCGATAACTTGAACAGTACCGTTCGGATTTTGATGAATCTTTCACACAAGGTTGCTAGTACGCCAAGTACGAAAAAGGTTTGTAATTATTGAAACTCGGTCTAGTGCCAGCGGAGAAACAAGCCAAGACAAGAAAATAAAAATCGCTCAAACTTCGTTTTTTGACGTAGAAGGTTCTGAAAAAAATTTGTATGCGGGGACTTGGGGCTGTAGAGGGTGGGTGAGGGTATATTAATTTTTTTGGATCTTTGTATATTTATACGCTCCCAACCCCGGTAGTTCTATCCACCTATATATTGCACACATCATAGGTAGATTTGACTTTGTATTTTCGATCTGCGTACTCCTGCTATCTAAGTTCACCGTCCGGCGTACCGATCCAGCTGACTAATCTATCCGCACTGCAGCGCACATAACAAATGAACGACCACGGACCATGCACGAAATAAACAATAAACGATTTACAGTAACTACCGGTGGGGCAGGGAAAAAAGATCTATGGGCTAATTTTGTGGGCCTTTTTGAATGTTTCTGTTGTACATGTTTATAATTTACTTTTTTCTCAGATGATTTAAACCAACTTGACGCAATTTCTTATTTTGGTTTACCATGAAAATTAGAATAATATGGAAAATACAGTACACTCGTCATCATGAAAACATTAGTACCACTTTAATGGAGTAATCCATAAAAGTGATTTTCGTGTCCTTACTATATGTATATAAGTTGACCACCTCTGAGGTTATTGAGTAGAGAATATTTTATAGTTTTACATATATTTTCTCAAACTCGCTTAGTGAAGTAATTTGTAGAAGTAATTTTCACTAGGACCGCCCATACTGTAATTCCGAGTGCCACCTCTGCGGTTATTGAATAGCAATTAGAATTCCTTGTAGCCACGACGAAACCACTTAGCTGTCCATTCTGGGATGAATGCTGTAAAGAGACAAATATAACAATAGCAAATAACGTTGAGGTGAATGTCTCTTCTCGTGACAGTTTATGTACACCTCAGCCCGTCTAATAAGTTTGGACAACACTATAACGTATTTTAAAATATTTGATCGTAAAATGTCTGTTGGAGATACGGTACATTTATGGCCATCTGTTGCCTGGAAATTTTAATAAATTAGGGATTTTCCGGTGTTAATTTGAATGTTTAGGGCCATTTTTCCTGACTTAATTGGAGAAACCATATATTAAAGAATCCACCGTCGGTGTATAGAAGGTGATAAAACCACGAAATCACATCAGCGCTTTTAGGTAAGGAACTTCCCGCTACTATCAGCGAATGGATATTTTTTTTATATACCGAAGCAGCCGCGCAGGCAGAAGCCTAAATGCCGGGACACCGCGGCTGTTATGATGATCCCAAAGAAATTTTGTTAATATGATTTTTGAACTACATAAGGTTAGCAGAACTAGAAAGGAAGTCATCAAAGAGAATAGCACTGCTAGACAATGATACAACAGAAACCTTGATAAGAAGGGCCTACCACACTCTCACCATTTCTGTAGAACCTTGTTCTTGACGGCCTACTGATCAGTCTCAATATTGAAGGGCTATACTATAGCCTATGCAGATGACGTCGTGATGCTGTTTAACGGTAAATTCAAATCGACACGTATTGAAGATATTTCTTCATCATTCTAAGTTTAGGGCAAATGTACGGGGAAATGTATGATGTGTGAAACATATCTAATATGTGAGTAAATTTAACGAAATTGGAGCGTATAAATACGCTACCACCAAAAAATTGGGATATACCCTCCCCACACCCAACAACTAATTTTCAATTACTGAAATTTTTTTCTGAAAATGATCAGGAGCCACTGACAACCAGACAACGGATTTTTTTCTTCTTCTCCTTATGCAAACTTTCATTCTATGGACTTCCAGAGAAGCTTTGCAGATGGGTGGCTCACTGCCTCTCTGGCCACTCGACATCTGTCGTATTAGACGGGTTCTCCTCTTTATCCCACAATGGCAACGCAGGTGTTCCCCAGGGATAGGTGTTGGCTCCGACATTGTTCTTCTTAGATATCAACGACCTATTTTCCTGTACGATGAATCCGATCCACAGCTTTACTGATGACACCACCCTATATGCAGAAATTCAGAGTGACGAGCCGATCTCTGTCTGGAGAAAAGAAGACTAGGAGTCACTTCCTCTTTGACGAGAGACCTGGGGATTATCACTGCTTAGAGACAACAGTTTAATGCTTTCAAAACACAATACTGTACCTTGACAAGAAGCACCCTAGCGCTCAGCCGGTTTTGATGGACGGCTGAGTTCTACCTCTACCAAAGAGTCGTTCATTCCGACTGGTCAAAGCCCAGATCATCAAGAACTTCTGAGATAAGCTAGGCTATTTGTTTAGGCCTTAAATGTTTTTTTATCTACATAACCGTCTCACTCTGTACCATGTCCAGCATTGAGTACTGCTCACATGTTTGGGATGCTGTCGCTCCGACTACATTATCCATGTCGGACGCTGTGCAGAAGAGGGCGGTCCGTTAGATCGAGGACGACTCTTCTCTAACGGACAGTCTCAGGACCCTTTCGCACCGACGAGCTGTCGGCGATCTAGCTCTCTTCTACCGATACGCCAATGTGCTTTGCTTCTCAGAGCTTTTCTGCATGATGCCGCCGCACGATGTCCCTGTCAGACAGACTCACCTGACTTCGGCCTCTCATCCTAGCCGTGTCGAACTTCGTATATCCAGAACTAGGCGATACGACCGCTCCGTTATCCCTAGTGTAGAACGATCTACCTGAGAAGGCTTTTTGTTCTAATCCTAGGCAGTACAAAAATCAGATTAACAAAGTTTCTTTAAGCAGCCGAGCTGCCCTGATATTTAGACTTCTGCCTGCTTCGATAAAAAAAATAAAGATTTATACATTGTCCATCAGAACGAACGCATGTTCTTTAAATAAGTAGTACAGTCAAAATAAGTATGGGAAAAATATTTATTATATCAAAATACTTAGAAATACATGCCATTTTTTGAGTAAAACAAAATTTACGTTCTAAAAACTGTCGGCCATATGGCGTCGTTGAGCCGAAATGCAGGAATCAAGCCTCTTCCTAAATGAGCCTATTGCATCGGCTAGCATCCGTGCAGGAATTTGGGTTATTTCTCTTCTTATTTCCTCCTTCAAAGGCTTGCTTTGGTAAACTTTTGATTTCAGGTAGCCCCATAAAAAAAATCACGTTGACCGGTCCGGCGAGCGAGAGGGCCATGGAATATCATCGGAGAGGCTTAATCCCTGCATTTCGGCTCAAGGGCGCCATATGGCCGACATAGTTTTTATAACGTAAATTTTGTTTTACTCAAAAAAATGGCATGCATTTCTGAGTATTTTGGTGTAATAAAATATTTTCCCCATACTTGTTTTGACTGTACTACTCATTTAAAAAACATGCGTTCTTTCTGACAGACCTTGTATAAATTGTAACGGAACCCAACCGTATGAACATATCAAATTTCAATTGTTCTCCATCTAAATGACAATGTATAAAAACCGTCCTTTCTCACGAAAACTCCAGACAGGTCTTTTTACTTTCTTCACAGTGGTACCGGCCTACCTACAGTTTCAGTCTGGTAGTTCTTCTTGGTCCGTGTCGATCCGGCGCGGTGGTAAGCGCTGGCATTCATCCCCACCTCTTCCTTTTTACAGGTTGTTCACGGTTGACCTTGGGAAACCCACACCATCTGTGACGGCTGACGCGGATCGACTCGCGGTCATGGAGACTCTCGGCTATGGTGCTGCCTTCACTGCGGCTATTGTCAGGTCAGTGATACGTTACTTACGCCTGTATTCTCTTACAATATTAGAACTATCGGTTTACGGTGATGGATTTTTTACGAATTAATGTCGTCTAGAGTATCTACTTGTATTATAAAAGCTATGAACATGGAGTTAGCAAACTGTAATCGGTAGTGTAAGTCCAGATGCTGTATATAATGCTACCTATAATGAATATGGACTAAACTGCTGATGTTGTAGTTAGTGGTATAAAATTAATGATAACTACCTTGTATTTTATTAGGCAGTGTATTATTTTTAATTCGAAAATCTCCCAAAGTATAGAGATCTAAACTTTTAGTAGACTTGTTATTCATGTTAAAGGAAGGATTTCGTTAATTTTGATCCGATATTCCCTCAAAGCACGATTTTAAAAGTTTTTGTTAGAAATAGAACAATGCATATCTGCAGAAAATTCGCTAAGTCTTTTGAGTTTCTAGCAGTTCAAAAATGGCGCTTGAAACTAGTTAATCGGTTGACTCTTTGCTGAGAAATCTGGTAAAGATGATTGAAGATTTCCTATTATTTGGTAAGCAATAGTCGATGAACAAAAGTTCTCTCTTGAAGAGGTAGCATTTTTGCTACTTAAAATTGGTTGAAAACTTCAGACTGATTCATGCAATAGTTTTCGCAAATTTTTAATGTCTTGTCCTACACATATGTTTCCAGCATTGTTGCCTCGCCTTATATAACAGCTAGCCCAAACTGAAGGATATTGGTTTCTGAGAGAGGAATGCAATATTCAAAGTAATGCAATATCTGCTTTGGTAATAAAATATTTTTATCGAGCAGTCAAATGAAACAATATACTCGTATGAATGCGAATGTCTCTCCAGTCTGTCAGCATCACGTGTCAATCATAATAGGTAGAGATCTAAATTTTTTTACAGTTATCAATTAGTACGCGAGGAAGGTTATAGACATGGTTTTATCTGCGAGCTCATCATCGAGTTTGCCTATATATACAGAGTATCTACATATCCTAAACAGCCCTAAATCTAAGGAACCACGCACTTTTTGGAAAAAATATTCAGAAAAGTTTCAGGATAACAAAAAGAATTTGTCGATTACATCAAGTATGACCTGAAAATGATCTCTAAGGGAATTGACACAGTATCACTATGATCGAAGTACATTTTCCTATAATGTTCCGACACATCACTTAAATAATCAATAGAATAGAAAACAGGTACTACCCTAAACATTGGAAGCTGGCCTTGATTATAGTTGTCTCGTAAACTTCAGATCCTAGTGATCTTAGGCCTCTTACACTTATTAGCTTGTTACCCGTGCTTTCAAAAAAATCTAGAACGAATCATACAGAAACAATAATTATACTTGAAGAAAAAACGCCAAACAAATCTAAATCAAGACGATCATGCTGAAATGCAGTAAATGCACGATGCAAATTTCCTATTTATATTTACTCATTTCAGTCGGACCAGCGACTTAGCGCTTCCGCGTCAGACACCACGGGTCAAATTGTGTTAAACCGTTTGGGCTGTAGCTCTTGAATAAATATTTCAGAATTATTTCCTAGGATAGCTTATGTGCTATTCCAGACTATAATCTGTCAGTGAACCAAATTTCATCCAGATCGGTCCAGCCATTTTGTCCTGATTGAGTACAAACATCCACACTTTCTCATTCATAATATTGAAAGGCACAATGTTTTCTTATTCATAAAGCGAAAAGAGTTGTTCTATGAAACTATTGTATCGCATGCCAAAAAAATCAATATTTAGTTCCGCTACATCTTGCCCCAACAGTGCTGTCATTTTTATCTGATAAACAAGTAGAATTATTTTGTTGCACTCTATTGTTCATACAAATATCTAGTACCTTTGGCAAAGTTCAAAAAGGTACCTAGAGCCAGAATTTTTTGTTTGGCAGTCCACACGCCTAATATTTCTATGGATGGCGTGCAGCACTATTTTTATTGCCAGACGTTCTGACCTAACTTATCCGTTTTCAAAATATTTGGTTTGTACGGATGTAATGGATGGTAAAATATTAAAGATGTACGTTTTCTTAAAAAATTAAATGTATATTTTTGCGCTTCCAATAAGTACGAGCAGTTCCAAAGCACCTGCTTATGTCTTATCAAAGTTGTTTAGTTGTAAGAAAGCTGATCCGGCATAAATAGCATATTTATCAACTTAAAACTGTTAACTTAACAGAATATTAGAAAACGGATGATAAAGTATGTTTGCGTTGGGGATAATAGTACAGTTACCAAGTAAAATTCAATACTTCATGTATAAAGACGGAGGAAGAACTTTAGTGCTTTTTCAGAGAAACGTAATTAACTCGGCAGCTAACCGTCAAAGTCCATGAGTATGTTATATTAGTGTTGTTCTCGTAATAGGATCAGTCAAAAATGAAACAACAAGTTCCGACCCTCGCCAGACTTCTAGTTCTACATGTAGTCCTGAAAACTCAGCTACTTCAGAAAACATCCACCACAAACCGTAATTCGCCTGGCGTTGACAAAGTGAGCAACGAATCTATAGAACTTTCAAACAACAAGGACTGGTATTAATTCCATTTGAATGGTGAAGTTTTTGTTATACAGGGTGCGGCAGAGAGGATGGACGGTTTTAAAAAATCATAAAATAGTTAATTTTTACTCGAAAACAAATTTATTGATGGAATCAGGTTCACAAGGGAATAGCATTTGAGACAGTCAAGTGTGGAAAATCACATCAGGCATGTAGTGGCCGAAATCGTTGTTGCAGTGCTGGAGGCGTTCTTGGAAGTTCGCGTAGACTCTCTCCATCATCGCTCTCTCAACTTGGTCGACTTCCACGCGAATTTCGCCCTTCAATTCGTTCAGAGTTCAGGGCTTGTTCGCGTATACTCTAGCCTTGAGGTTCTCATTTTGATCAATCAGTGCTTCCATCTCACGTGCGATGTTCATTCGTTGTGCATAATCTCCGGGATGTAACTGTCGCACAATGGCTAATTTGTAGGGGTGAAAGCGGAGATCGATATGCAAAATTTGCCTTACCGAACGATCACTAAAGCGAAGTGCAGCAGCATGTTTCCGGGCAGATCGAGTCGGACTGTGAAGAAAGACCTGTCGAACGCGTTCAACATTTTCAGGAGTTCAAACTGTTCGCGGCGCTCCTCTTGGTCTTCTGTTGATCAGTTCACCACGCCTGCGAAGTGATTCAACCCAACGAAGGATGGTGTTTCGAGAGGGAACAGATCTATTCCGATGAATGTTGAAGTGGCGACGATACTCACGCTGTACGACGATGACTGACTCATTATTTCGGACGAAACAATCATAGGCAAAAACGCGGTGCTCCACCGTCCAAGGCTCCATAACGACAACTGGTAAAATAATGCTAGGATCTCACGAGTCAAACGGCACCCTCCCCACCTCTCTCATAGACGGAGGCGGAGAGTACTACCCATCCCAAAAACGTCCGTCCTCTCTGCCGCACCCTGTATATTGTGCTTGAGTATATGAAGTAAAAGGAGCGCAACTACCATAGTGACCCGGATACTCTTTTAATAATAATAATAATAATAATAATAATAGTAATAATAATAATAATAATAATAATAATAATAATAATAGCATTTATTGCCCAACAGAATAGTACAATTCCATTTGCAGGGCAGAAAAAAAAAATTGCAATACAAGAATATAAAAAATGTATGTTGCATATGGTATAGCTATTTAAGGTGCTGCGGTAGGACCCCTTTGAGATCAGGTAGAGAACAAAACAACGGCACAATTTGGAATTTTTCCAACAAGATTTGATTGTCCAAGCCACGTTGCAGATTAACTGAATTGGTCTCAAAAGTCATAGATATGTACAAACTAGAGAAAGGAGGTGGGCTGAGAAGAGCCATTTTTCGCCCATCAGCGGATAGATATGACATATATATTTATGAAGAGTATACTCCATAGCAAAGAAGGAAACATAGTTATTTCAAATGAAAAATGAAAACTGAAATTCGTGGTATACATAAATTAAATATTTATCTGAGTGTTATATATGTTTTTCAGACAATAATAACAGATAATCAGTTTTCATACACTTAATATATTTTTGACTCATCTTCTTCCTTGTCTTCAGACCATCCTTCAGTGTATCATCAATCATCCAATTTTGATAACTGACTGTGCATATACTCACAGAGCTGTTGATTCCAAAGTACAATTTTAAGTCATCGACGAATATTAATGATCCACAAACAATGCTGGTACTTATATCCTTAATAAAAAGACAAAAGATTGGTAGTCCCAAATTCGAACCGTGTGGAACTCTCGACGATACTGTATCTGTATCGAAGATATCGAGATATTGTGTTATCAGTGAACCCAAGAAGTATCCAGTATCGAATGCTTTTTTTAAAATCTGTTTACGCTATGTCCTACTGGTCCTGTCGATTTAAAATATTTGACGTTAACTGAGTGAAAATCGTTGACAGTTGACCTACCATTCATGCAACCATGTTGACAGTCTGACATAATTGTAAGTCCGATTGTATAAAATTATTTCTAAAAGTTTTTCGATGTTGTTTAGGATTGAGAATGGTCGATAAATTATATCTGAACCTTTTAAAAGTGGAATTCGTAAACTCTGCCAATACTGCGGACGTGTGGATTCATCGTAATAGGTTCACACAACTATCGTTTATCATAATTAGCTTACAGATTGCAGTTGCCGGGTGCTGCAGGCAAAATGCCGCAGATAAATAAATAAACACTCCGTTAAACGTTTATGCGAACAGTTATTATCGCCATACGTGAAACATTCGATGAATGACAGATTAAACAAGGTGAAAGTGCTTTGGTGATGACTTATATTATGATTGAATGAAGTCCGATGCCTCTCATGTAATGATTTAATGCGATCAATCTGTGGACAGATGTGCAAGGTGGCTATACTCGTAGAGGAGAACCGAAATCGAACGCTGAACGTTTTCAAAGCTTATCTTTCTGTAGCATCTAACGTAAAAGTTGTTCTGGCCTATATATTGCATGCGAATCTGTCAAAATGTATGTTAGTCTTATTTGAATTCTACAAAGGGGTATGCCAGGGCCGTTGTGATTCTGCGCAATTGGTTCTAGTGGGATAGTTTCCTATAAAAGCTCGAATGAAGCTATTATGTAGAAAGCATGCTCGGAGAACAGTACATGTAGTTGTAGTGCTCCATTCTGTTTGGAAGAAAATGAGCTTTAGAAAGTTATGAAGATATGTTATATAACCGTTTCTTTTCGACCATTTTTAAATATGGCAGTCGAACGATCACAATTTGGATCGCGTGACTTGATTCTTACCAGTGGCGACGCGTGACTTTACCAAAACTAGATGAGAAAAAAGGTTCTTTTTGACCCTCCATGTAAAAGTTTTTGCTTATTTTAGGTATTGTATTTAAACTTCTTTTAAATTAAGGTAAACATTGCTGGACTGGACGTCTGCGGCACTTGATATACCTCATCGTCTTATGCTATGACTAATCCAAGCCTTCCGAAAAACAGTAGACGTTTCTAGATTTTTTTATCTTTGTTGGCAATTAATGTTAACAATTTCCAGTAATTTCCTCTATTGTCAGAGCCGTCCCCTTCAAAATGATCCCGAAATGGTAATTCTTGTTTGGCCAAAAAACATACAGCATCTATAAGTGTGCTGCATAAAATCTTGGTTAAGACAACTCAATTCTTGTTTTCCAAACTGAATCAAATTGGCTACATATCTGACATGTAAAGGAGAAATTTCATGTCTCCTCTTCAGAATCCTAAGACTATTTAAAACGTTGCTGGTCCACCCATTTTTTTTTTTTTTTTGTAGAAAACAGAAGACATGGTCAACAATACACTCTGTTTTTCTTGCAGCCACATAACCAAGAGTTTTCAATATACCAACTAAATTTAAAATATCGAACTACATTTTTATTCCTTTTTAAAATTATCTAAAATAAGTTGGTATTCTGTTTCCAATGATCTCCTTTTTATCTTCAAAATTATACAAGGAGAATGACTTTTCAAGTAGTTAATCGATTACGCAGCGATACTCATCCATGTTTAATTGCACGCACACTACAGCCGGCAACCAAAACGATTACTAACGAGGGAGAAGTGGCGGCGGCCCAAGCACTTGGACGACCGCGATCAGACCCGAGCCGGAACCGACTGTCCCCGACGGACTATCAAGTGTATCCATAAACGAAACTGGTAACAACCAAGTCGAGGCTTGATCGCGTTCGCAAAATCTAGACAGTATTATAGGGCGCATTATTTTCGTGGGGCTAATCTGCTATTTACTGAATTACTAGTACATATTGCTGGTTGAACAAATGAATGAAATTATTTCACAGTAGTCATAAATTATTTATTTTTAAGATTTTCAACTGTTACCACTGGTAAAAATGGTTACATGGACGCTTCGCCACTAATTCTTAATTACTACTCCACTGGCAAGGAGGTATTGGAATCGCGAAAAATCTCGAAATTGAGATATACAAATATTATTTGGATATTACACGACTGGATATCATGAAAGACCATTTCACTCATTTCCGTAGGACTGTCCGCCAATCCTTGAGCCCTCTATAACTTGGAAAGTACCGCTCAGATTTTGCTGAAATTTTCACACAAGGCTACTACTATGCCAAGGACGAAAAATCTATCGAAAATCGGTGCAGTGGCGGTGGAATTATTGGTAAAAGCAGGAAAGTCGCTCAAACTTCGTTTTTACCTTTCAGAGGTCTGTGACCATTTTCACAAAAAATCGTGCAGGGTTTGAAAATGTAGGTTCCTAGACTAGGATATCTATATAAATCCTCCAAACATTCAAACCTTTGAAACAGCTAACTCGATATACTGGGCTCTCCAGTTGTCAATAGCAAAGTGCATTTGGGTTTTGAAACTCCTTAAGCAGAGGGGCGGCTGTGCTCTTCTCTCAGTTGCACTCAATTTTTAAGAGAATCTGGTGCTATAAAAATATCGAAATAAAGGATAAGTGGATTAGCTTAGCCTAAGGTCGAGCTGGTGGTGCAACCGGCAATAAGTGCTGTGATCGTGGTTGATTATCCTCTGTTCAATATGGAGGTTAAGCAAAAAAAGGTCTGTAAAAATGCTACCTGATATCACAATACAGTATATAGTTACACAGGTATCCAATTAAATGCTTGCCCGCATACTTATACATAACATATTATGCATAGATATAGAATTGACGATCCTAATAGTTATCCTTCTCGACATTTACTTTTAATTTCGACCTTCACACGGCGTAATTTCCGTTCATGAAGTCAACGACTGCCGGCAATTAAGATTCTCTTCTAACGACTTAATATCACACATATTTTAATTTCCCTCACGCTAACATAGACATGAACTTGAATGAATAAATATGCTATTTATGTACCTCATATTTCTGACGATACATCCTCATTCGTAATATAGCTTTAGTCCATCCGACCAGAGACGGTCAACCATCTACAGCTGTTTTGTGCTATTTGGCAACCCCTCAGCATGGTCTAGGCTTGGTCTCGGTGGGACAGCGAACGAAAGTGGAACATATCCTCTATTCAGATTTGAAGGTTTATCGATATATGACAGCACAAAGTGTCATTTATTACCAGAATCTACAGGGTGCGGCAGAGAGGATGGACGGTTTTTAAAAAATCATAAAATAGTTAATTTTTACTCGAAAACAAATTTATTGACGGAATGAGGTTCACAAGGGGATAGCATTTGAGACAGTCAAGTATGGAAAATCACATCAGGCATGTGGTGGCCGAAATCGTTGATGCAGTGCTGGAGGCGTTCTTGGAAGTTCGCGTAGACTCTCTCCAATATCGCTCTCTCAACTTGGGTCACTTCCACGCGAATTTCACCCTTCAATTCGTCTAGAGTTCGGGGCTTGTTAGCGTATACTCTAGCCTTGAGGTGTCCCCAAAGTCAGTACGTTTTGGCCAATCATTAAATATATAGTGCTTATCAGCAGCTTGGCTGCCCCGCATGTAAAGAAAACAGCAGTACTTGATGAATCCACTTTTCAAACCAAGCAACACAGCTGTCAGTCAGCATACAGTCAGCTACAAAGATAATAAACGTGAAATCACCTAATTTTCCTTATAACCTGTACTACAGCAATGTAAATAAGGGGATCAGTTAAAAAAGATTGTCGGTGTATAGCATGAAAACAAAAGTACAGTTACCAATAGAAGACTATAATAGTCACAGTTGATGAATCTATTTTGTGTAATTCTATCAAGAAAGTTAAGTGATCGCGCATGCCACGTAACTCATTGTCAAACCATTGGACTTGTTTCTGTTTATTTTGGAAAACGCGTGTTTTCTCTGGTAGACATTTACCCACTGCATCGATCACAACACGTATGAACAGCTCAAACTTCAACTCCACGTTTAAATTTGCATCATTTACAAACTGCCAGCCAGTACTTTCCAAGCTGCTGTAAAGTAGAAAAAGACCAGTATCAGTAATTGACCGATAACTTACCCTTTTGAAGCTGTTTTTTTTTACCAGGTTGGAAACAACAAAACTCGATCCCCAGGTGATCCGACAAGTAAGTATCAAAGATATTCGTTTTGAGAAAACAGCTGCCTTGGATGTTCGTGAAAATGTTATCCAAGCAATGCGACCCTCTTGTACTGTCCCTGATCATATATTGCATTCCATAACAGCTAAACACATCAATAACTTGGTTTGCCCGCTCATCATTGTTACCAAATTTAACATTAAAATCTCCAGTTACCACTACATGCTTCTCATAGTCAAGCTGGTCTAATGTAATACATAGCTTATTTATAAATCTATTGAAGTCACCTGCAGGAGATCTGTATATAGTGAGAATCTGAAGTTTATCAAAATATATGCCTGCAACCTCAAAAGTCAATTCTTCGGCCTCTATCAGACATGAAGTGCGTAAAGGTGAAGCATTCGAGTCCGTTTTTACATATATGACAACACCACCATGAATTTTTCTCACTCTGCTAAAATTGGAAATGGATTTATAACCGTTTATGTTAACGTAGTTAATTTCGTCATTTAAGTACCAGTGTTCATTTAAGCAAATTACATCATAACTGTGTTCAAGACCTAATAACGCTATATCGTTAACCTTTTGTCGTAGGCTCTGTATATTAAGATGTAACAAATTTACCATGCATTTATTATTAGCTCGTGTTATCTTATTACTATCTAAATCTGTATTACAATACATTATTTGAAACGCTAACATTTAGGAAGCTATGGTCTTTGTCATTCAAGAAAAAACCGCTTATGACATGGTACTGATTCAGTATTAATTGTCTTCAACGTGATATTATTTTTATATGGGTTGCTCAGTAGGATATCATGAACATATCCTGCAATGCTCTGTTTTGAACCTTTCATGCGATTGTCATAGGTGAGCGATATTGACGTATTTCTGTTAGATTTCCTATAAGTGGTAACTTTGGAATTTATTCTATTTATAAGGTTATTATCAGCGTGTGAACTTAATTCGTACAGAAATATTAAGTTGGTAGTGCGGCCAAGTGGTAGAAGGTTGCATAAACCCTTCTTTAAACAATAGGAACTATTGATATTTTGAGTCTTAATCATGAAAATTACAAAGTCATCTTTTCCATAAGGTATTGTTTTCGTGAATATATCCTTGGTCGCCATTACAAACTCGATATTTGGCTTTACATAGGACTCAATGGTAAACCTGGATTTGTCAATGTACAGTTCTAGAACTTTTCTGAAGTTCCTGGCATACTCGTCACCAAAAACAAGTAGATACTTGTTACTTCCTACGGTCGTTTGGGTTGTTTTTATTTGTTGCTGCCGGTGATGGCAGGGCAGCCGGTTCTTCGGTACAAGGCTCCTACAGTACCTCGTCAGTAGGACACTCAACTTCACTCTCCAGACCACTGGTATCGGTTAAGTCGATTGAACATTGAATAAGACTGTTAGTATATGATTAGCTTCCATCAGTTGGTTTGTTCCCGCACGCTGGTTTCCTATATGGTGGTGGTTCAGGTGTTTGCGAGTGCGCTTGTTTCTGGTCCACAGTGTCAGTTTGCATTCCACACTCCGATAATATCTTTGGCTCAGATTTTAACTTTTCGATCAAATCTTTTAGATGGTTAATGGTTTTTTCCTTATTCAAAAGCTCATTAGATAGTTTTCCTGTTTTTTCTTTTAATTTTACAATGATTTCACTCGGCTCATTATTTCTGGATTGTTCACTGGCTAGTTTGTTTCGAACATCTGATAGTATTTCTTCCTGCGTAACAGTTTTGTCTTCAAAATCATCAGCTTGTAGGTGAATATAGCTATTATTAGCTTTATTCATTTTCACAGAGGTAGGTTTTTTTCAATTTAGACTGTTGTCTGGTATTCATCTTTATTTTTCGATGTTTTCAGGTAATTTTCGAAACAAGTGGCAACGTTCTAAGTCAATCGAACTGTGTGTTTACATCTTTTTGTGGTTAATTCCAATGATATTTCCCACAATTTACCTGTTTTTTTTTTTAATATGCATCACTATTCGTCACTATTAACTGTTTAATTATCCGAATCTGCGTCGGCGATATTTTATCAGGAGTTTACACTACTTATTTATGAATGGGAAATGCCATGTTAAGATAGCGTTGTTGCACGATTGTTGAAACCAATAATATGAAATTATTATACAGCGTGTTCTTAAATTTATTATGAAATAATGTGAGCCTAACACAAGAAGACAATTCATCTCTGTACAAATTGATAAAAAACGTTTTGACTTCGTACTGGAAACTAAAAAAGTTATGAAAGTAAGAATCAAAATTGCTGATAATATCTTCATTTATCTCTAAAAACTTCAACCAGTCTATATTGACGTAAATATAAAACCAGGTTATAGAGAAAACGTGGTTCTTGGTAATGGCATCTCAAAGTTCGGGTAATGAAACACCATTTTGATTTACCCTGTACAATAAGTCAAACCGTGACTACAATCAAAAACTCGTACTTACACAATAAAGCCAATGAGTGTACCTGCTGACTGCTGAAATATAAATAGATCTGGTGAAGAATAAAAAAGTGATGACGTTAGGAATTTGACCAAAATTTTGCTTGTTGCGTTTATTTCGAACCTGAGTTCAACCCCCATGTTTGACTGTCCGAAGCGAACCACATACGTTTAAAATTATATCTTTATTGTACGACGTTTCGGTCCCAACGGTGACCTTCTTCAGGTACAATAATAAATACCTCATTGACAATATATATATATATATATATATATATATATAGAGAGAGAGAGAGAGAGAGAGAGAGAGAAAGAGTGAGTGTGGTGGTTTAGTGATGTATGCGACGATAAGGTGAATGTGCAAGGGTTACTTGGCAACTATGTGAGGCTTTGGGGCGGCAGGCGGCAGTCGACTCTGGATGCGCGTCAGGGCACGGTCGCGATTCATGTATTTTTAAGTTTTGCTTAGAATTGCTGTTTTTTGTGAAATTTCAATAAATCGTGTACTCTCTCAAATCTACCGTTATTTACTCATCGAGAGCCCACCCTCGGTCGATTGGTATAATCGGCAGCCCATTGCATCTTTTGGCGCCGCAACGGGGACGTGAGATTTCGGTGATTTTGAGAGACAGAACGTGAAGTAGTGACTTTTCGGCGTTTCAGTCGATTGTGGAAGTTGTGCCGACAAGTATATATTGGAGGAGCAGTACAGGCGTAGCGTGGAAGAAGTGGAAAACGTTTTCCACGCGGTATTCACGTGAACAAGTTGTGCAGTCCAGCGTTGGCGAGCTTACCGCGCAGCGACGGTAAAACGGCGTAGGGAGGTACGAGCAACGTGAGTCAGACAAAGATAGGGGTAGAATCGGCGGCGCGCGAGATAGCGGCACGCGGCGCTTGAGGAAGGAAGGAAGGCAGGAAGGCTGTTACTAGCTAGCGTGGACGAAGCGGTGTTGCCACTGTGAAATATTTTGCTGTAGATTGGTGAGAATTTTCTAATTTGATATTCAGGCACATCTGCGAGCGTGCTGGTAGCAGTTAGGAGTTTGTTGAGGCGCTTTGGAGTACATTCGAGGTGGTACGAGGATAGGAGCCGGGAGATCAGGGAGCTGTATTTTGAATATCGTATTGTAGTTAGTACCTAGTAGGTTTGTCAGGTTATCTCAATATTGTTAGGATATATTGCATAAGAAGTGGAAAACATGTCAGGAAAAGGTCGGAGTAAGAGGAAGAACAGAAAGGCGAGTGTGGGGGTGCGTCTGTCGATTTGAAAGCGCTGGTATGGAATTTGGCGGTGTCTGTCACCGAATTGAAAAATACAGTGGTATAGCTGGTGGAGAAGGTTGCCATGTCAGAAGAGATTGTGACAGAGGCGGAGACTGTCTCAGTTTCAAAAGGGGTATATCAGGGGCTTTACCCAAATAATGATCGGACCTATATTGCTCATTGGAAGGAATTGGGGGGTGGTAGCATTACTTACTCAGCTTACGGGCAGATACACCCGATTCTATTTTTGAAAAAATCGACAAAATATTTATTGACGCAGGGGTACCAGAGCATACAAAATTGGCCCTAGCACTAGGTTGTCTTAGGGGTTTGGCATCCGAATGGGCAAGTCTGAAGAAGGATTCGTTGATTGATTTTGCCACATTTGAGCAAGCCTTTAAAGAGAGATGTGGGGGGGTTGAAAAGCAAAGAGAGCTTTTCATGACGTTGGTTTATGGAATACATCCAGGCGGTAGAAGAGCGGATTATTTCCTAATCTTGATGTCTCAGGCAAATTTTCTCGACAATAAGATTCCTATAGTGAATTTGATAGGTATGTTGGCCAAACATTTCGATGCGGAAATTTAGCGGGGTATAGTGATCAATAATTTCACTTCATTGGACGCCATGAAGGAGTATTTGCGTCGTATCGATGAGTCTTACTTAGTACAGGGGGGTACGAATAGAATGGTGAGCAACGAGCAGGTTGAAGGAATGAACAGGCGCGTGGATTATAATAGATCCAATTCCAATCGTGACAGACCACCAATTGTTAGGGACAATAATCAATGTCGTAATGTAGGCACGTTAGTTTGTATGGGGGACCCGGAAGAAGATCTGTTGAGCGATCCTGAGGAGGAGGTTTCTCCAACTATTTCTATAGATATTTTTGGCAAATGTTTTAGGGTGTTGACAGACAGCGGTTCGGATGTATGTGCGGTGTCAGAGCAGTTTTACGAAGAGATCAGCGGTTTGGGTAAGTTACCTAATTTTCCCGTGACGCAGAAAGCAGTATCGGTCTCAGTTGGGGGTAAAACCCAATGAATCAAATCGGAAATTTTTGGTTCCGATCTAAGTAGAAGGGGTACGTGAATTGTCTAGTAGTTCCAGGGCTAAATTGTAGTATTATCTTTGGATCTAACTGGCTATACAAGTGCCAAGCTCGTCTCGATTATCGGTTTTCTATGTGCCGGGGACACTTGGCAACTATGTGAGGATTTGGGGCGGCAGTCGACCCTGGACACGCGTCTGGGCAGGGTCTCGATTCCGATTCATGTATTCTTTTTAAGTTTTGATTAGAATTCCTGTTTTTTTTTTGTGAAATTTCAATAAATCGTGTACTCTCAAATCTACCGTTATTTACTCATCGAGAGCCCACCCTCGGTCGATTGGTATAATCGGCAGCCCATTGCATCTTTTGGCGCCGCAACGGAGACGTGAGATTTCGGTGATTTTGAGAGACAGAAAGTGAAGTAGTGACTTTTCGGCGTTTCAGTCGATTGTGGAAGTTGTGACGACAAGTATATATTGGAGAAGCAGTACAGGCGTAGCGTGGAAGAAGTGGAAAACGTTTTCCACGCGGTATTCACGTGGACAAGTTGTGCAGTCGAGCGTTGGCGAGCTTACCGCGCAGCGACGGTAAAACGACGTAGGGAGTTACGAGCAACGGGAGCCAGACAAAGATAGGGGTAGAATCGGCGGCGCGCGAGATAGCGGCACGCGGCGCTTGAGGAAGGAAGGAAGGCTGTTTCTAGCTAGCGTGGACAAAGCGGTGTTGCCACTGTGAAATATTTTGCTGTAGATTGGTGAGAATTTTCTAATTTGATATTCAGGCACATCTGCGAGCGTGCTGGTAGCAGTTAGGAGTTTGTTGAGGCGCTTTGGAGTACAGTCGAGGTGGTACGAGGATAGGAGCCGGGAGATCAGGGAGCTGTATTTTGAATATCGTATTTTATTTAGTACCTAGTAGGTTTGTCAGGTTATCTCAATATTGTTAGGATATATTGCATAAGAAGTGGAAAACATGTCAGGAAAAGATCGGAGTAAGAGGAAGAACAGAGAGGAGAATGTGGGGGTGCGTAAGTCGATTTGGAAGCGTTGGTATGGAATTTGGCGGTGTCTGTCACCGAATTGAAAAATACAGTGGCATAGCTGGTGGAGAAGGTTGCCATGTCAGAAGAGATTGTGACAGAGGCGGAGACTGTCTCAGTTTCAAAAGGGGTATATCAGGGGCTTTACCCAAATAATGATCGGACCTATATTGCACATTGGAAGGAATTGGGGGGTGGTAGCATTACTTACTCAGCTTACGGGTAGATACACCCGATGCTATTTTTGAAAAAAATCGACAAAATCATCTATATATATATATATATATAATTTATCTGTCTTCCAGGTGACACCTTGCTTGTTTTTTCTCTAGATATACTGGTCTAAGGGTTCCTACCGAGCAAATGCGACAGACATAGACAGACGAGGTGTGAATGTTTCGTGGTCGGTTGCTGCCTAACAGGAAACGCAGGTTGTTTAGAGAAACCGAAAGTCAAGCTACGCGGTACCGACGCGACGTGCCAGTGGTAACGACGACGCACCTGCACAGGCATAACCGGAATGCCCTTTACAGGATGGCTCAAATCAGTCGATTTTTGGGCGCGGAACTGCTCCGCCATTTCGGTATCCTGGTGATGAAGGACCATCGTGTATATCGTCTGGCTTACACTGCTACAATAGGAATTTGGAAGTGTTTATATGTATCTGGTACTCACTGAACTTTTGATTACCTCGTGCATCATGCGGCTGAAGTTCCGATCGATCACGCTCTGATCGAAACGGTAAAAAGGCAGCAGTGACGAAAATTTGCTATTACCACTTCTACTGACGTAATTTAGGTCCAAATAAACATAAATCGACGCGGTTTTCACGTAGTTCGATTGTATTACGGGCTTTCTATGTACTGTAAGAGTTTTATCTCCCTCCTCCAAAATCTTCCTCAAAGTGAGGAGAAACGCGAAAAAATTGATATTACATTAAAATAAACCTGGAGAAATGCGGTTTTCACGTCAATTGATTAGAAAAAGCATATTTTACTTACGCTAAGTTCAAATCCGTGCTATCTCGTTCACAGATACCGCAAATTGACCCCCCTTTAAAACCTAATATTTTAGAAGCTATATAATCATCTATAGCTTTTCAAAACCGCCCAAGACCAAAATGTTTTGGACACTTCTCGCATGTATATGATCTAGTCAATCACACCATATCAGCCGTTTCCCCAAACCAAGTCCGGAACCCTCCGTTTTTGCCCCCTCTTTATTTATACATGACAAATTTGAAAAAATCTATTATTCGTCAAAACAGCCGAAGACCCAACATTTTTTTACATTTCTGGCATCAGTATAATCCACTTTATCACTCCCTACTAGCCGGTTCCCCAAACCAAGTCCGGAACCCTCCGTTTTTGACCCCTCTTTATTTATACATGACAAATTTGAAAAATCTACTATTCGTCAAAACAACCGAAGACCGAAAATTTTTTTACATTTCTGGCATCAATATAATCTACCTTATCACTCCCTACTAGCCGTTTCCCCAAAGCAAGTCCGGAACCCTCCGTTTTTGACCCCTCTTTATTTATACATGACAAATTTGAAAAAATCTATTATTCGTCAAAACAGCCGAAGACCCAAAATTTTTTTACATTTCTGGCATCAGTATAATCCACTTTATCACTCCCTACTAGCCGTTTCCCCAAACCAAGTCCGGAACCCTCCGTTTTTGACCCCTCTTTATTTATACATGAGAAATTTGAAAAAATCTATTATTCGTCAAAACAGCCGAAGACCCAAAATTTTTTTACATTTCTGGCATCAATATAATCTACCTTATCACTCCCTATTAGCCGTTTCCCCAAACCAAGTCCGGAACCCTCCGTTTTTGACCCCTCTTTATTTATACATGACAAATTTGAAAAAATCTATTATTCATCAAAACAGCCGAAGACCCAAAATTTTTTTACATTTCTGGCATCAGTATAATCCACTTTATCACTCCCTACTAGCCGTTTCCCCAAACCAAGTCCGGAACCCTCCGTTTTTGGCCCCTCTTTATTTATACATGAGAAATTAGAAAAAATCTATTATTCGTCAAAACAGCCGAAGACCCAAAATTTTTTTACATTTCTGGCATCAATATAATCTACCTTATCACTCCCTACTAGCCGTTTCCCCAAACCAAGTCCGGAACTCTCCGTTTTTGACCCCTCTTTATTTATACATGACAAATTTGAAAAAATCTATTATTCGTCAAAACAGCCGAAGACCCAAAATTTTTTTACATTTCTGGCATCAATATAATCTACCTTATCACTCCCTACTAGCCGTTTCCCCAAACCAAGTCGGGAACCCTCCGTTTTTGACCCCTCTTTATTTATACATTAGAAATTTGAAAAAATCTATTATTCGTCAAAACAGCCGAAGACCCAAAATTTTTTTACATTTCGGGCATCAATATAATCTACCTTATCACTCCCTACTAGCCGTTTTCCAAAAGCAAGTCCCGCCTACTGTGAGCCCCTATGTATATAGCAAACTTGAACAAAGATATTTGTCAAAATGTTTGAAAGCCAAAAAGCCAAAACTAAATGAAATATCGATAACTTGACAAAAATGCATTTTTCAGGCAGTATTACATCATGTATTCGATATCTGTGTAAACGTGAGAGTTTCCGTGTAAAGCGCAACAGTGTTTTCCGTTTTTTTTTTTTTTTCATTACGTTTGATGAGCGTTGTTTATCTAGGCAACTACAACGGTAACCTGGGGCCTGATTCTAAATGAGTTTCGACCGTTGAAATTGATTTCAATGGCGTCTTGTGTCGATATACTTGATTCGCTACGATAATTTTTACACTGCCATGAAAATTTCAATATTAAATAATCGATATAACCATATGGCAAAAGCATCATTTGGAATCAAGTAAATCGTCACAAGACGCCACCGAAATTGATTTCAATGGTCATTCAGATTCAAGCCCCTGATCTCATAAGATATCAACCAGTGCAACTAAGGGCGGTTTCCAATCTAACAAACTGGAACTGAAACATGTGTATGCAACTTGTTAGAATTGAAACGCCCTTCTTCGGCACCAGTGCCGCAACATGCTTCACTGTTTTCTTTGCCCTAATTGTTTAGTCCATGTTGACAACAATCGCCCGGCTCATACACCATAACATTTTGCGGAGGACATTTCAATCTAACAAGTCGCGAACCTTATTACGCAATACATTTTTGACCCTGAAACTTCTTCTACAACATGTTTCAATATCTACTTTATATTTTTGTGTGTCATTTATGTTGTTAGTTTTAATATTCGTATTGATATGTTTGTGTACCGCATACCTTTGTATTATTTTTATTAGTATTTTTATTACTCCCGACAGGAAACACCCTCAACCTTTACGATAGGGTAACAGGTAAAAACGACCTATTTACTGCATTTGTCCGCACCACACTTCCATATTTCAGGATTTAATAACGTTTTATGAACAGCATACCTCTGTATTGTTGAATTTGATCTCACCCGTTTTGTTTT